GGCTCCGGCGTTCTTTCCGCCTCAGCCTTCCAAGTAGCTGGAACTACAGGCGTGCGCTACCACACCCGGCTGATTTTTTGATTTATTGTAGAGATGAGGTCTTGCCAAGTTGCCCAGGCGGGTCTCGAACCCGCGGGCTCAGGCAATCCACTGCCTTGGCCTCCCAAAGCGCAGGATTACAGGCTGAGCCACTGAGTCCGACTTTTTTTCTGTATTTCTAGACTATGTAGTTTGCGAGTTTTTTCAAATTGTCACAAATTTCAAAAAAATTTTCCAGTGCATTTATTGAAAAAATCTGCACATAAGTGAACATGCATAGTTCAAAGTGAACCTACACAGTTCAAACCTGTGTCATTTTTAAAGGCTAACTGTACTCATATATTTTCTTGGATACATTCACTCAATGGAATACAACAAAGATTACTTTAACACTATGCGTACAAAACACTTGGGGTTCTATAGAACATACATTGGATCAATGCAAGGATAATTTATTGGTTGCTTACTCTACTGTGCCAGACTGTATACAAGGCCTATGGTGCAGACTTTGGGGACCACAAAGATATTGAAGGTATTTATACTTGATTATAAATTTCATGAGGACTGGGATTGATTGGGTCTGCCTACCTCACCCACAAGTCAGTGAAACCTAGCCTGCAGTAAGTGCCTCTCTTCTGCTTCTATTACTCTCCTGTTTTCTCCCAGTCATACAATGGCCTGACTCTATCTTAAAATAGTGACTATTACTAATTTGTACTATAAAATCTTGCCTGAAAAAACTTACATGGCTCTAGAACCATAAATATATTAAGAACCCTTTAACTCAGCAAAAGGTAGATGTGAAAGGGTGTCTTCTTTAAAAGTTGAATGCTTGTAGAACAAACCAGAAAATCATCAGAACAGCAATTCATAAGTTCTACACTGATGTTCCTAAACTGAAGGTTGTAGTCGTCAGTGCCATCTGTGGCAAACTGGAAATAAATGTAGCACCTGGGATTAGGCATGTGTGAGCAGATGGGGAACTGCTCCACCAATTCCTAAGTGAAAAATAAGGTTGACAAAAAGATTTGAACAGCAGTGAGAGCTATAGATTCCTAATAACTCTACTGTCAGTTTTATCCTTACTACTCTTTCTCCTTATCTGCTACCTTCAATTACTATGTTCTTCTCAGTCTTTCTTCCTCTCCTTTACTCCGGTACCCTTAAAGGCACATACACATACTTTAAAGGGAGAGAAAAAAACAACAACAAAAAACCTTTATTGCTGGGCGCAGTGGTTCACCCCTGCAATCTCAGCACTTAGGGAGGCAGAGACAAGAGGACTGCTTGAGCCCAGGGGTTCAAGACCAGCCTGGGTAACTTGGTGAGACCTCGTCTTTACAATAAATAAAAAAATTAGCTAGGTGTGGTGACACATGCCTGTGGTTTCAGCTACTTGGAAGACTGAGGCAGAAGGATTGCCTGAGCCCAGTAGGTCGAGGCTGTGACGGCCAAATGCATACCTCTGCACTTCAGCCTGGGCAACAGTGAGACTGACTCAAACAAACAAACAAACAAGTTTATCTAAAGAATATTGAATAAATTGTACGAATGGAAAGAAAAGGAAGAGAGAACAAAAATAAGGGAAACTACCTCCAAATTTCTTTTCTCTTTGGCCTGAATTGTGAAAGCATTTTCTATCCTGCTGTGACCCGCTGGGCATATGGAAAGAAGAGGATGTCAACTTCTCACTGATTTCCTCTGAACCCTGGAGCAGCACTGGTTTCCTACACCTTCATATGTTTGGTGAGAACCCCAGTGAGGATACTCTGGGGGTTAGGCCCATCAGTTGAGATTAGCTGTCTTTAAAACTATTGGAAATGGATCTTGGTTTCCTTCAAAAAGATAAAACTGGCCCCAAATCCTAACAAGAAGTCTCACTGTGATAACAATATGTCAGTGATAGATATCCACAACTCAGTTTAGAATCCATAATTTCAATATTCAATATGAGATTTCAAGTCAGCCAACATTTTTACAGTTTACTGGCATTGGATGAATAATAGCAATTCTCAATTACCCACTGCAGAGCATGACCAGGAAAAGTACAGCTAACTTAAGCACAAAGGCATTATAATTACAAAACGGAAAGACTTGAGTTATTTCTTTACCTTGCTCAAAACTATGCCCTAGTAGATGTATTAGTGGGGATTACAGAAAGAGCTGAAAATAAGAAGAGAGTGAATTATATGTCTTACAGACAATATGAAAAGCTCCTAAGTGATCATTTTTTAGCTGTATAACAACGTGCCTGGAATAACTGGTTCACTTAAACCTGAAAACAGGAAGCTAGTCCCTAAAAAGTATTTCTTGGCTTCATTTTGAGAAATTGCATGATATGCTTTGTTTCCACAATAAGATTCACTTTAATCTTACCTCTGGTAAACAGAATTCAGGCACAGAATCCACAAATACATGACCCGAGCACTCCTTTAGCTCCTATAAGAAAAATTAAAAGGAAAAATACAAGGAAGAGATATCCAATAAATATAGTACCAAAGAAACACACTGCCCAACCTAAACTTTTCTTAAGGAATCAGACTACTAGAGTTGGAGGGGAGCTGGGAAGTTATTTCAGCTAGCTGCTCCCTGCTTAGGCTCAGGTAGGCGAGGTGTTTTATTGAGGGTAGAAGTAATACCCTGAATTGTGAAAGTTAGTGGCAGACACAACACTTAAATGCACACTTCTTGATGCCTCTCCAAGAAAGCCACGCATGCACACATGCTGCTTCCATAACCTATGACCCATTGGTTTCCAAGTAAGTTATGTAGACCATATCAGCAACACCAGAATTAGCTGGGGAGGGAGATTAACGATCCCTGGGCACTATCTAAGAACTAAGGCATCAGAAACTAGGGATAAGGGCATGGAATCTATACTGACAACAAGCACCTCCAGTGATTCTATAATGCAATCAGTTAGGAGATATGGTCCTAGATGAATAATTTAGGGGCTCATTCTCCACCTACCAAAGTTGGGAGGAAAGGGACATGTAAGGAGGGAGGACCCAGGGCAGGAAACAGAAATCACCACCACCACCGTGAATGTAATGCTTGACCTTGTAGAACATACACTTATTTGGAATATAAACCAAATGCATTCATTCAAGAGAAAAAAGCATATGTATAAGGAAATACAGTACAACTTCCTACCCTACCCATGACCTACCAAATTAATATGCCTGACATGGTTTAGATTCCCCCACAGGCCCGAGAAAAGGGTTTAAGTGTGTGCAGTTTATATAGGAGGTGCTGGAAAAAAAAACAGCAGGAGAATGGGGAAGTGATAAATGAAATGGAAGGTGACTGATAACAGATATGCTATTGAGCCACGTATCACTGTGGGCAACTGGAACTTATGCCCCTGGGGAAATCTGAGAAATGGTGTAACACATGCAATTCAGAGTTATCGTGCTGAGGAGTAATGGGTCTGGAATCTTTATATCCCAACTCCTGCATTTTGTGCCTCAGGAAGAAACTCTCAGGCAAAGCCATACAGATACTGGCCACTGGAATAATAACAGAATGCGTTGAAATAGAAAAGCCCGAGTGATATGAGTGAGCCACCAGAAAGGTCTGCGACAATGCCTCCTGAAGGCCACTAGAGCTGTTTTCTCCCCTCACGGACACTTTAAATTGAAGTCTGAGGTAGACTTTTTTTTGCACCATCAAGGTTAAAGCTATCTATGACTTTATAATGAAACCAGTAGAAGACAGAATGTGGTTGACAGTCTTCTTTGTTCTTTTCAGAAAGGAAAAGATATTGTTATAATTTTGTCATATCATGTTTCTACTAGTCATGAGACATATATTTCCATATATTCACACACACATGTATCCATATTGACATTATCAGAGTCTAGATGATTTTACTCTCAATTTCATCTGCAAACAGGGCATTAACTACATATTATTGTCCTTTTGAATTTTACACGTCTCATATCAGAACCTTGAGAGAATATCTCCTCCCCTTGCCTTCCACTGTACACTCTGGTTCTTCTCATATGTTAACCAGTGATAGGCTGAGTCAAAAAGAGCCTGAACACAGATCTTAATTACAATGTACCTGCCAGCAAAAAACAAATGAGCAATTATGTTTAATGGGAGAAGATTCCCAACTCCCTTAGGATGAAGTTAAAAATGATTAAAGACAAATCATGGGAAGTTTCAAAGCTTTGTCTGCTCTTAAATTGGCTATGTAATCTTCTTTCCCAAAAGACTACATTTCAGGGCATGTCATGTGACAGAGTCTCCTCAGAGGCTCTCATCCTTCCTGGCCTGCAGAAGCATATTTGCCATTCCAAACACTTACAATGTCACTGTATTTTATTCACCACTCCCTTCTAATGAAATACTCCCACATACACATGCAAGTCATTTCGCTCACAATGCGCTGGTAATGGGATGCTTCTGAGTCTTTCTCAGGGAACAATGATTTATAGCCAGCGGGCGATGCAGGCTGAAATCAGGTGCACAGGTTTCTGAATGTCACATAATTTTACAGCCAGCTACAAGGAAAATCTGGTTTCAAATTATGCATTTAGCTTGCACTTGAGGTTAGGGTGCAGTTGCGGAAATTAATTCTGTAAAAAAAGTACCTCTTAACAATATCTATTAAAAGAAGAAAATGCCTAATTTAGATGAATCATTTTAATAATCTTTAAACCCATTCAGTGCTCCAAATGTGAAACTGAGGAGAAGAAGAATGATTTAGAGGACTAAGAAGTGGCATGAGTGAGCTTTACAGTTTTTAACATTTCCTGACCTCTCATTTTAGTACAAAGTTTCACTAGGTTATAGTTGTAACACTTTTTGTGCATTGGTCTCTCATTTATCAAGTTAGCTCTTTGAATACTGATTTGAGGAAGGAATCACTGAAAAGATAACCTAATGTCCAGAGCTCAAAAGCTTTGAAAAGAAAAAAGTAACAAGTCATTTACTTAGGCTTAGTGATTAAAGTCATAATAGTACGTTACATTTCTAGAGCTGTGTTATTTTTAAAAAATAAACGATAAGATTGTTCATTCTAGGCTACCAGGAAAGGCTGAAACAGGACCACAGATCATAGTCTGGGAGACCCTCTATTCAAATTTACTTAGGAGCATGCTTCCTCCCCACACTGCCTCCCCTCACCCCATAAGAACACACTGCCAGGAAAGCCAAACACCCTGGTCCTCAGAATATTCTCCACACCCTGGCCAGAGTGATTTAATCCAACAATGACACTGTCCTTCTGCAACCTTCTGTGGCCTCTCATTACCCAAAAAAGACAAACTTTTTACAAAGCCCTGCTTGATCTGACCCTTGACAGAAGCAGTTTAAAATTCACATACTTGAGGATTTCAAAGTTATTTTTAAAAAAGGTTTTACTCTTTCCAACCAGAGTCAGTACATAGACTCAAAAAGACTGGACTGAACTCTCTAATAAGCATAGTATCTACAAAATTCTTACTGCAATTCTAGAAATAATAGTTTTTTATCTGTGGTAACAAAAACGGTACATGTAGCAGAAGCACTTAGATTTTTATACATGAGAAAACTGGATTTAAACCTGAATGAAGCCGGGCTTGGTGGCTCAGTCTGTAATCCTGCGCCTTTGGGAAGCTGAGGTGAGTGGACTGCCTGAGCCCGTGGGTTCGAGACCTGCCTGGGCAACTTGGCGAGACCTCATCTCTACAATAAATCAAAAAATCAGTCGGGCGTGGTAACGTGCGCCTGTAGTTCCAGCTCCTTGGAAGGCTGAGGCAGAAGGATCGCTGGAGCCCAGCAGGTTGAGGCTGCAGTAGCCGGGAGTGGCCACTGCACTCCAGTCTGGGTGACAGAGTGAGACTCTAACTCAAAACAAAACAAAACAAAACAAAACAAAAGACCTGAATGAACACTGAGATTCCCAATAATTACCAAGTCTTGAAGACCCTAGCATAGACAGGTTTTTTCATCAAAGAGAATACCCATGGTCGGGGGGGGCGGAGAGCCATCAGTCACATTACTACAGGGTAGCTCTGATATGAGAAGACGGCTTTCTACCAGGTATAGATAGGCTTCAGTTTCTTGTCTTCGACATTACCTTGTCCAAGAAAGCACTTCCATCCTTCAGGGACCAGCCAGGAAGATTAGATAGCCTGGGACTGCAAAACAAAAGATCAAATTATTCTAAATAGATTATAATCCTCAGTGATTTCATGGTGACTGTACTGTTTCCATAAAGTTAAAAACAGTTGAGCATTACTAGCAGTAAGGCTTAACCTAAATACCAAGCAAAAAGAAGAGAAATAACCATGCTGTATCAAGTCTGAGAATTACATGGCAGTAAATATTAAAAGGTGAAATAGTTAAGTACAAAATTGAGAAAATTAAAAGGATAATATGCAGAATAATATGCAAGAAAAAAAGAAATATGAGACACTAGAGTATTTCATAGTCTTCTAATCACTGCCTTTTACCTTGTGTGAAACAACAGTCCTGAGGGAGGGAAGGATGGGGTATCATCACATTGCAGATGAGAAAACGGACAAGAGAAGTCAGGTGCTCTGATGAGAACACTTACCTACTGGAAGGCTCACCACCGACCAGTCAGAATTCACTGTGAACATGAATACCTGAATTCTACTCAAATCGATACTCTGGATTCACTATTTACAGGTGAATTAGTCACTTGTTACTGTGTCTTAAGTTTCCAATTCTGGGAAAGGAAGCTAGTTTTCCCAAGTGTTACAAAATGAAACAATATCTGGGTGAATAGTTTCTAGAAGGTGAGGCAAATTTCATGTGTATGCTATATTAAAAAGTCTGAATTCAGGCTGGGCATGGTGGCTCAAGCCCGTAATCCCAGCAGTTTGGGAGGTTGAGGCAAGAAGATTGCCTGAGCCCACAGGTTTGAGACCAGCCTGAGCAACTTGGTGGGACCTCGTCTCTACAATAAATCAAAAAATTAGCTGGGCATGGTGGCGTGTGCCTGTAGTTCCAGTTACTTGGAAGGCTGAAGAGGAAGGACTGCCTGAGCCCAGCAGGTCATGGCTGCAGTGACTGTGAGCGTGCCACTGTACTCCAGCCTGGGTGACAGAGGGTGACTCCAATAAAAAAAAAAAATCTGAATTCAAAAATCATTTACTACTAGTAATATCAGAATTGAACTGTATACTACTAGCTGACCAAAAGAATTATATTGGAGACCAAAAGTGCCAATAATTCAGAGGGTGAGAAAACAATATGTTGGTAAAATAAAAACTTAATGACCAATGCAATATGCGAAGAAAAAGCACACCAGTAGTAAAAGTTGGATGGCAAAAGAATTTCAGTACTTCATAACAAAATTGAAGTCTGTGAAGTAAAAATTAAGGGCAGAGTAAGGATGTGGAACTAAATGGATCAGAAATAAAATATCTGTATAGTCTCTCATCTTCTCCCCAGATTAATTTTATCCAATTTTGACTTTGTCATTAGATAATAGGCTAAGAGGGAGTATACAGAAACATAAATATATGATTGTCTGTTAGTCTTCTAGAAAAGGTTAAAAATCTGTATAAAATATACATGCATCAAATTTCAGCAAAAAGTGAGAATTTGAAGGGTAATATTTTAATTTTGACATTATTTATTTACTTACAGAAAAGTTGTGAGAATGCAAATATAAGGAGGCATCCCCCCAAAACAGAATTTATTGATTAAAAAAGTATGTATTTCTTCTTACATGTTTAAATTTCAGTCACCTTCAAAGTACTCTCGGTTTGACACAATACACTTACTGAGACATTTTCCCCACTGCTCAAAACTGGTAGATTTCTTCTAGTGCTTCTGCTGTTTTTTGTTTCACCTCTTCCATATCGGCAAAGCGTTTCCCGCTGAGAACTTTTTCACCCCGGGGAATGAGAACACATGGCTTAGGACAAGACTGGATGGATAGGGGGGCGGGACACGAGAGCCATGCTGCTTTTGGTCAAAAACTACTGAACACTCAGAGTAGTGTGGGCAGGCGAGTTGTCATGGTAGGAGAACCAGTCACCTGTTTGCCACAGAAAAATTCACTGAAGCCAAACGCAGTCTCTTACGACACCTCCAGCTGGCACACTGATGTCAGCGGGTTCCTAGAACACTCACAGAGAGGGGGAAGCCTGAACTACCAGGGGCCCACCATACAAAAGGTTATTCCTGTGTTGTTTATGTTCCCTCCTCATACAATACATTCCCATACGCCCTTTATTTAGACTCATTAACTGTTTATATTTTGCCTCTATTTATCCAAAAGTGAGAATTTTGGTTTCATACTTGAGAATGAAAATCAGTCCTGGGACCAGAATCACATTTGACTGGTATAAAAAATTATAACTGATAAATTTCTTTTTTAACTCTTGAAGTTTTCGGCTCTAACCGTTCAGGAAATAACTGTATTACACTAGCTGTTTTAATTCCCATCTCTTTCATAGTCACATATATATGTCTTTACTTGTAGACTTCTTACTTCTTGAAAAATATATTTACTGTCAGATCAGATTTTAAAAAGCAAGCATTCTATTAAAAGTGTAAGGACAAGACAATGTGGACACTGTTCTCATTTCATGCATGCTAACTCTGTAAAACAAGGTTGTAAATATCCACTACCCTTTACAAAGAGAACTGGCTCAAAGGACACATGCCATGTCTGTTCCCCATCAGACTCACACAAATCAGATCATTGATACGGTCAGCTGCCTTCAACAAATGATTAGAAATAGTATGCTGCTTATCAGAAAATAACTCATTTTTTAAAAAGCAAAATTTCCAGGTATTGTGGTTTAAACTCTTGACAAACATTCTTTATAACATCGAAGTCTTCTACTAAATCTTGAAAGCTAATTTGGGTTTGAGACATAATAAAAGGGACTGAATGCTCAAAGGAAATCATGACCATGTTGTAACAATAGTGCCAAAGATGAAGGCCCACATAAATATGTCACCAGATGGCAAAGGGATATTGACTATAGAGATGAAACTATTTGGTTATTGCATTCCAATGAGTTAATGAATAAACCATAAAGAGCAAACTTTAAGTGACCAACGGGGAAGAGACTTACTACTTTGCTTTTAATGATTACACAGTTTGACTGTGTAAACTTTGCAAATAAGGAGAGAGATCTCTCCACAGAAATCTATTTTAACAAAATATGAGAGGTGAAGATATTGGAAAAATGATTATAAAAGAACACACCTTTGCACTCACTATTTTACAAATACTTTTGAGAGAAAAGAATAACATTAAAAAAATTTTTAGTTGAGGAAACAAATGTATACTAGACCTATTTTTTTAGGAATTGCTTATTTTGAAAAAATAAGTAAATTATTCTTATAAGCAAATAAGTAATCTATGGCAAGTAAACTATTGCCTAAAAAAATATTAAAAGGAAGGTTAAACATGATATACAACTTTTGTTTTTTTCACAGTTCTTTACTCTGAAATGTATTACTTTTATAATCAGGAAAAATAATGAAAGAGGCATGACTACATTCATTTCTTCAAATAATATTTACAAGAGCTTATTACTCAGAGCAAAGTGGTGGGATGCCAGTAAATAAAAAATCTTTGTCCACTGGGAGTTTACAATCTAGTAGGAGGAGACAGTAAACAGTACTCACACTAGAATAAAGTAAGAGCTATGACGGGATAAGCGGGAGGTGTCATGAGCTCACACAGAAAGGGCATTTTGACAGCCTGCAGTGAAGTGGCAGGAGTGGTATAAGGGTTAGAAAGTGAAGGTAGAGGAGGTCTTTCCAGAAAAAGAAACAGGGAAGGGTCTTATCATTTGGTGTAGTGTCGTAGGAGGTTCCACCTAGGAACCTTGATTTATGTGTCAAGTACTCAGCCAGGTGCTGGGGAATATGACTGTGAGCAAAACTTACTCTCCTCCTGAGGAAGCAGGGAAGACTAACCAAGTATTCATACAAAGAGAGAACAAGCCGAACAATTATAAAGCACTAATGTAGTACAAAGTACCACAAATGCTTTCCCAGGTGTGAGAAAAGGACAGGGACAAGTCTAGGTAGCTTCAAAACATTTCCCTGGGATATGATGAGCAAGCTGAGGTCTGGACAGGAGCAGAGTTAAGGGGAGACTCGTTCAGCGCAGGGTCTTAAGGGACTAGAGAAAGAAGACCAGGCCTAGTCATTCCCCCAGTCATTTTCATCGGTCTCTGGCATGGACATCTTACATAAAGGCTACTCAAATAAAATTTCGAGAGGAGTCCCATACACTCCTTTGAGCCCCTTATCCCAACCAGGAGGCCATCATGATGTCCCTCCTGTACAGAAACTGTAGTCATAAATGAACTGAGATGGGGTCCTGCTAACAGGCTAAGGGAAAGTGAGTAGGGAAGGGGGAAGAGGCTTCTAGGCTGAAGGAACAGCATGAGTGTTGCCGAGGAAGGAGTCAGATTTGTTGAAGACTAAAAAAGGAAGCAATGAGCAAGAGGTAAAGTAGAAAGAAGATGCCAGCGGGGTAGGCGCATGGCTGAATATACCAATGAGTCTGATGTTTAGCTTAAGAGCAATGAAAAAAAAACACTGAAAGGTTTTGGACACATGCGAGAGAAGATTTGATGTGTGCTTCTAGAAGATGATTCTAGGGAAAAAGGAATCATGAGCCTTCTGACAAATATATACTATCATTGGTATGGTATTCCTACCAAAAACGACCCCAACTTTATCATGAGAAAATGTCAGACCAAACCAAGCTGAAAGATATTATATACAATAATTGGTCTGTATTCTTTTTTTTCTTTTTTTGAGTTGGAGTCTCACTCTGTTGCCCAGGCTGAATGAAGTGCTGTGGCATGCTCATGGTCACTGCAGCCTTGATCGGTTGGGCACAGGTGATTCTTCCACTTCAGCCTTCCAAGTGGCTGGAACTACAGGTGTGTGTCACCACACCCGGCTAATTTTTTGATTTATTGTAGAGATGAGGTCTTGCCAAGTTGCCCAGGCTGGTCCTAGACTTCTGGGCTCAGGTAAATTCTCTTACCTCAGTCTCCTAAAGTGTTGGGATTATAGGCATGAGCCATTGTGCCTGGCTAGCCTATATTCTTAAAGACATGAAGGTCAAAAAAAGACTGAGAAAGTCTTCAAGATTAAAGGAGAACAAAGAGATTATGACTAAATGTAATGTGTGATCTGGATGGAATTCTAGACTGGAAATTATTATTTTTCTTTTTTGCTATAAAGAGTTTTTTTTTTTCAGTTGGTCTTACTCTGTCACCTAGGCTAGAGTGCAGTGGCACATTCAAGGCTACCACAGACTCAATCTGCAGGGCTCAGGTGATTCTTCCACCTCAGCCTTCCAAGTAGCTGGAATGCCAGGTGCACCACCACGTCCAGCTAATTTTTTGATTCATTGTAGAGAAGAAGTTTTGCCATGTTGCCTAGGTTAGTCTCGAACCTCTGGGCTCAGGCAATCCTCAAGTCTCTGCCTCCCAAAGTGGTGGGATTACAGGCATGAGCCACTAAACCTGGTGATATAACGGGTTTTATAGTAAAATATAAATTGGTAAAACTGGGGAAATATGAATAAGGCATACAGATTAGATGCTGGTATACTATCAATGTAAATTTCCTGATTTTGATTACTGTATCATAGTTATGTAAGAGAATGTCCTTGACCTTTGAAAAAACACACTCAAGTATTTGGGGGTAAGAAACATCATGCCAGCATTTACTCTCAAATGGGTCAGAAAGATATTATGTGCATACAAACACAGAGGAAATGATAAAGTAAATTTGTCAAAATGCCAACAAACTGGTAAGGGTAATTAGTAGTTTTTTGTACTATTCTCGCAGCTTTTCTGTCAATCTGAGGATTTCAAAGCTAAAGGTTTCATGAAAAGATGACCCTCGGTTGAGACAGGGGCAAGATTGGAACTGAAGAAACTGGCTAGGAGGCTTTAGTAGTAATATCTAGAAAGGACGATAATGACCACAGCAGGACTGAAGAGGAGTGATTGAATTCTAGAACTATTTAGAAAGTAAAAATGACAAGGCTTAATGAAAGACTGGATATGAGGGAGTCAGGAAGAGGGCTGTATGTAAATTAAATTCTTGTTTTCTGGTTTTTATAACAGGATGCCATTACTAAGATAGGGATTCTGGGGAAAACCAGGTCTGGGAGGATATGTTTTCTCTCTTTTTATTTTTGGAGTCTCACTCTGTTGCCCAGGCTGGAGTGCAGTGGCACGCTCATGGGCACCCCAGCATCAACCTACTGGGCTCTGGCAATCCTTCCACCTCAGTCTTCCAAGTAGCCGGAACTACAGACACATGCTACCAAGCCCAGTTAATTTTTCACTTTTATTGCAGAGATGAGGTCTCGCCAAGTTGCCCAGGCTGGTCTGGAACCCGCGGGCTCATGCATTCACTCGCCTCGGCCTCCCAAAGTGCTGGGATTACAGGCTGAGGCACTGAGCCTGGCCATTCTCCTCTTTTGGATTCAGTCTGATCATGAGTTCAATTTGGACATGTTAAGTTTTGAGGTGACTTCAAAGGCGCAATCCAAGGACAGAAACTGAATGGGAATTTTGGACCTATAAACCTGGAACTTGGAAGATAATTACTAAGTAAAGATATACTTTTGTAAGTTGCTGTTTGGATGATTATTGAAGCCCTGAGCATTTATTAAATTTCCTTGGTGGAGACTGTGATGGCCAAGCTCTGAACACTGAAGAATTCCAAGACACGGTGGCCAGAGGAAGATGAGTGTCCAAAGTATGTGGAAAAGGAAGAGTCAGAGAAGTAAGAGGAGAGCCAAGAAAGTGTTACCATGGAGGCCAGCACTGCTGGATGCTCAAATAAGACGAGGAGTGACATATGTCCAGCCTATCTAATGATCGGGAAGTCATCTGTGACCCGAGCGGTTCCAGCTTAGAGATGTGAACAGACTGGACAGGGTTTAGAAATGTTGAAGTAGGCTGGGTGCAGTGGGTCAGCCTGCACTCCCAGTACTTTGGAGCCGAGGCAAAATGGATTGCCTGAGCCCGTGGGTTCGAGACCAGCCTGGGCAACTTGGCAAGCCCTCATCTCTACAATAAGTTAGCCGGGCGCAGTAGTGCGTGACTGTAGTTGTGGCTACTTGGAAGGCTGAGGCGGAAGAATCGCTGGAGCCCAGCAGGTCGACACTGGGGTGGCTGTGAATGTGCCACTGCATTCCAGCCTGGGCACGGAGTGAAACTCCAACTCAAAAAAAAAAAAAAAAAAAAGAAATGTTGACATAGAAAGTAGAGCTGACAGAAGGTTAAAACTAATTTTTTAAAAAAAAGTTAAAAGTGTCTGATCATAATTAAATGAGAGTCAAGGTCGAAAGGTCCAAGAGAAAGGAAAGATATAATAATAATTTAATTAACTGGTTAGTTATAATAGTGAAAGGACTCTGCAAAAGTGAGAAGCTTGGGATCCAGAGAAGATAATGTGATTGGCTCAGACAACAAATACTTACCAAGCAGCTACTACATGCTAAGAACAGACACTGGGGGATACAATGGAGAACACACAGAAATCCTCCCTTACGAAACATATCTTTAGTGGAGAAGAAAGACAATAAATAAAGGAAATATGTATGTAGTCATATAATGTAATGGGTGATATGAAGATAGACAAAGCCAGCTGAGGAGCTAGGGAAGGCCAGGAATATTTCTGGCCTGAGCAAAATGAGGACATCTCTTGTAAGGAACTATATGGGTTGCCAACCATCCCACTAGTAGAACTTCCCTTGGAGAATAAAAGAATGGCAGAGGGAAGAGACAGTGGAAGTGGATTGCAGTGCCAAGCCACAGCTGTGAGAACAGAAGAATGAAGGAAAGACGAGAATGAACAGGAAGTGGAAACATGGAGCTGGGACTGTCTGCCCAACTCCAGTTTTGACAACCTAGAAAATTCATGACCCACATAGTGGGTGAGGCTCCCTTTTGGAAACCCTCATAGCACTTTGTATTTTTTATAGTAATCATCACTAACATATATAGTTGGTTTTTAACCACAAGTATACTTAGATCTTCAACTGTGTGATGTCTTTCTCCCTGATAGACTAGAAGTTCCATGAGGGAAGGTTGTCTTATTCATCTCTGTAGCCTTCGGTCCAGCACAGTGTAGATTCTTAATCAACAACAAATGAATGAACACTTTCCTCTTTATGGGCAAAGAGATATTACTGTAAAGCTATTTGAATAAAAAATAACCTATCAGTCATGTAAATATGTCCCCCTTCCTCATTTTTTGGATAATATCTGTGGATGGTATATGCATTTCTAAATGCTAGATGTAATTTTAACTAAATCCTATCAGTTTTGCAAAAAACGTAATCTGGTATTATCTCTGACTGTATCATCACATCAGCTTATTGTATGCTTTATCTCGGAAAAATCAACAGTGATTATCATTTTTCCAGATGATTCACAAGGCTATCATTGTGAATAATCATTTTACTCAGTGATGTCTTCAGGAACGACTGAGATAAATTAGAAGGTTTACCCAGCTTGCTGTGATTTTGAGCTCTTAAATCTGCTTTAGATAGCTTTTTCATCTCCTATCTTGTATGTGGTTATCACTTTTTGCTACTGCTAAGTATATTTGCTTCTGCAAGTTAGTCACTTTTTTTTTTTTATAAACTGCAGTTTCTAAGTAGTAGCAGGTCTTAGTTAAGTATAAGCAGTGCTGATTGTAGGCCTGAGGCAACCTGTCTGATTTAACATAATGACTTGGACTACATATACAGTTCCATGACTTCCAAAATTGACTAGCTTGAAAATAATGCACAGATGCCTATCGAAAAGAAATGTCAGACTCTATGATGTTAAGTCCCTGTAAAGACTGCTAAATAATTCTAAAATTCAATTCTTGGGCTCATCAGTTGACCATTTATCAGCTCTTATGTGGATTAACAAGAAAGATGAAATAAACATGACCTCAGTTGCACTGAGCAGTTGCAGGAACATTTTACAGAAGCCCAGAAGAAGTTATAATAAGGAAGCCAATCAATAAATCAATAGAACACTTTCTACCAACTCAGCCAAAGGAAATTATTTTGATAAAGAACATTTTTAAGGGAACAAAGCAAACTTATGACAATATACAAGGTACTGGTAATCTTTATACTAATGAGAACCATTTTTCAGCAAACAAAAGCTCATTTTGCCTCAGGATTCATCAGCACATACCTTTGAACAAGTGGCAAAGGAAGAAAACTGAGAGTGGAAGTCATGTCCAGTCCGCAGTCCAACATAATTGTGGTTGATTTGAACTTGAGCACATTGCATGGTAAGGTTGGGTGCCCTGACAGGCAATACTGAAAAAAAATTAAATTACTTTCATCAACAACTGAATACAGAAAAAGCCTGTAAAGTAAAAATTAAATAAAACTGATAATCTTCTCTTATAAGAACAGCGTGTAAGTTCATCTAACTTTTATGTAGCTTTCCCCCTTTTACTGCTTGGACACTACTTTTCTTAGCTGTTCAGAATACTCCAATGTCTCAGATCACATCTGCTTTTTCAGAGGTAGCAAATTATACCTCAGGCAAGCATAGTTTTAGAGGGGCCACAGTTATTCAAAAGAGAAGGTTTCAAGGCTATGGTTATCTAGTCCACTCACATGATACTTCCAAATTCCCACCATTCTATCTGTAATTACGTAAGTACTTACTGCCTAAAGCTGTGGAAGTCAACAAAATTCTAAGCTGGATCTCAAACTGTGCTCTAGGTTTGCTTTTTTCCTTCTGTAAAAAAGCCAAGAGGCTTTCTGCAAAGAGGAATTGGTCAGAGAGGTTAACAAGCTCCAGAAAAGGTTTACAACTCAGCCTTGTCAGAAGAAATGACTCAAAAGGACAAACGACCTCCCTGATGTGCAGGTGTGAAACAGGAGTGTGGGACACTTGCTCCCAACCAATCAGGACTCTCTTGCCAGTGGCAGCAGAGCTCAGAAGTCCAAGGGGCATAAGCTATGATGGTGTACTCAAAGGATAGTGATGAGGCTGGTGTGGTGGCCTTACCAAGCCTCAACACTATAAATCTAGCACTTTGGGAGGCTGAAGCGAGAGGATTGCCTGAGCTCAGGAGTTCGAGACCAGCCTGGTCAACATGACAAGACCTCATCCCTACAATTAGAAAAAAAATAGCTAGGCAGACAGCCTGGGCGACAGAGTGAGACTCCAACACACACACACACACACACACACACACACACACACGGAAACATTTTCCATGTTTTCTTCAATCTATCAGGGGTGACAGATCTGCCATCCTACTGAACATAACCTAAATTGGAGGTACCCTGTCACCTCTAATAATTCTATTGCTGCTCAGAAAAAATGGAAGAAGACCCTTTTCCTCACTTTTAGTCATTCCATAAAATCCTGCCTTGAGCAGTAAAGCCCAGAAAGCGAAGTAATCTGTGTTATAAGTCTCTTGACAAGTCCAGTCCTTCTTTCTGATTTAAGCACAGGGACAACAAAACTCAGAATAATGCTACATCACTGCCCAGTTCCACATGGCCACAGTCACTTAGGCTAAGTCTTTCTAGGTATTTGTTGCTCTGTTGGGTCTGTGCAGTGGATAAATTTCCTACTTTTCTCCAGAGGACATTAGGGGAACTGATAATTTTTTAAAACTGCATGTTCTAAAAACAGTAAGGCCCAAAGCCAAGAAACTGTCAGTATTTTGCAAGATTTCTGTTTATTCCAGGTTTATGTATGATGACATTTTACCAAACCAAAATTCACAAAGTCATAGTCTGAAGAGGTGCAGGGTACTTATGGTGAAGACGATACAAATTATTTAAAATTGCAATTGTCTTGAAGAAGTCCAGGATGCATGAGCTGGGTACTTATACTCTAAATAAGTTCCTTTTTAGATAGGCATCAGAATTACAGCAAATTTTTTTGCTACAATTTAAGATAGAGATATTCCTATCCTCACTTTTCATCTGGTTCCCTATTGCTAGCTTGGTCTTTATCTCTATCAAAGCATTATTTGTTAAACTATCTCAAAATGAACACAAAGTCTCATGTTAAACTTGCTCCAAATGTAGCAAGTGTTCCAATAAGAGCTTTCCTAGATTTCTCCTTTCAAAAAAAAAAAAATCAAGTATTCAGAAAAACCTGGAGGAAAATAAAATGAGATGTAAATAATGGTTGTTTCTCAGTGAGAAGATTATTATTTAATTTTCTTCTTTCAACTTTCTCTATTTTCTAAGCATTTAGCAATGAATACTTACTACCTTTTCACAACTAGAAGAAAATATGATTAAAACAAAACTGAAAATTTAGCTGGCCACACTGAATGACAATTTAAAAAAAAAATCTTCATCCTGAACTCTAAATGATGGGTGATAAGGTACACCAGAGGATGGAAGAACAACACGAAAGAGCTGCCGCTCTACAGATTTCAGCAAAAGAAGAGAACTGAAAGACTTCGCATTGTTACTGGCATCAAAGGACAAAGAAAAGTGAGGCACACTTCCTAAGGGCCACCACTGAATGGAAGCAATACTTTTCAGAGCATCTACGAAAGGTGCCAGACCACGATTGGCCTTGTTTGTATGGGTGAGGAAATTGAACTTAATCCATTTTGAGAGGCTTGTCTGGGAAGAACCAAAGACTCACAGAGGGGGCCCTCTGATTCCAAAGATCCTGCTCATGCTTCCCAAACTGCAATGAGTATATGCTCATTGTAGGCCAACTGAGAGCACCCTGGCACAGAGCAGCTAGTCAAGAATTGTACACCGGTATGGAAGGTGCCTGCAAGGGACCCAGACTTTGCTGCCTCCCATAACGTCCTCTGTACATTTCCTTGCTGCCTCTGATGATGTTCTCTGTACATTTCCAACATGCTGTCTCTATCACCAAGCAGCTTATCATCTAGTGAGGGTTATGAGACTAAGGCACAAAAAAAGTAAGTAACCATGTGATTTTAATTTTAAAACCAGCAAGAAATCTGTATTACAGAAGGCTTAAAAACTTACGGAAAGAAAAATATTACCTACAGTCAAGACAATCTATTTTTTTTTTTTTTTTTGAGTTGGACCTGCTGGGCTCAGGTGATCCTTCTGCTTCAGCCTTCCAAGTAGCTGGAATTACAGGTGTGCGCCACATCTGGTTAACTTTTTGATTTACTGTAGCAATGAGGTCTCACCAAGTTGCCTGGGTTGGTCTCGAACCCATGCACTCAGGCAATCCTGTCGCCTCTGCCTCCCAAAGTGCTGGGATTACAGGCGTGAGCCACTGTACCCAGGTTAATCTGACTACTTTTATATTCTGTCTTTTTTCTTATTTGTAAAAGCTGTAATTTTAGTGTTCATACTGCTCTGTGTACTGCTTTAAAAACTTTTGATGACTATGTTTTCCTTGTTTATGCTGCATCACACCTCGTTTTTATTGGCCTAACCCAAGTGAATTCACCACAGTTTGTTTAGTCATTCTCTTATCACTGAATACTCAGGGTTGCTTCCAGTCACTCTATTACAAGTATTGCTGTGGTGATCACTTTCGTGCATAAGGCTTTTTCCATATTGGACTATTTCTTCAGAGGATTCCCAGAAGTGGCATTAACTAGGTCAAAAAAACATGAGCATTTTATGGCTCTTGAAATCTGCTGCCAAAATGCTTTCCAAAAAAGACTGTGCTTATTTACAATGTCACTAGTCATATATTAGCAGATCGGTTTCACGGCTCATACCCATCTGGAGCATAGTCAAAATGATCTAGAATCTGAACCAACACCTTAATAGTAGTTATCTAGAGGTAATCAAAGGGCCCTAACCAAGGTAAGTCAACTATCTGATAAATGACTTTAGTTGTGAGAGGTAGTTTGGTAAAATTATATGAAGCAGGGAGTTTGGAGTTAAGACGGTCGGGGCTCCAATCCTGGCTGCACTCCTTATTAATGTGTGATTTTGGGGAAAGTTACTTAACTTTGCACGACTCAGCTTCCTCATCTGTAAGATGTAGGAATAGAACCTATCCAAGCAGAGTTGTTGTGAGGACTCAGTGAATGGATAAACTGCCTGGCACACAGTATATGCTCATTTTTGGCTGCTACTGTTGTAGAATCACTAAGAGTCTCAAGTGGCAGATTATCTAGGTCTGGGGGGAGTAATTTATATTCTATAGTGATATTCACTACTGTCTTAGACATTTGTGTATCTCCTAAGACTAGGTAAAGTGAATTGACAGTTTTCTAAACACTGCTCACTGCGAGTTTGCTCTTCTGAAAGACAGACCCACCAGAGAGTACAGATGTGAATATTCTAGCCAACATGGGCTTTACAACTTTTATTTTTTTTCTAGCTTAATAAGCACATAGCAACACTTTCATGCTAATTTTATTTCTATTTATTTAAAAAGCTGCAGATTATTCTGTATGGCAATTTAAAGTCCATAGGTTCTGCATCTGCAGATTCAACCAACCGCAGATAAAAATACCTAGGGGGAAAAAAAACACCACAAACAGGAAAAAATAACAATACAACAATAAAAAATACAAACTTTTAAAACGTAGTATAACTATTTACATAGCATTTACATTGTATTAGGTATTATAAGTAAGTAATAAAGAGATGATTTAAAGTATACGGAAGGATGTACATAAGTTATATGCAAAATGCCATTTTATATAAGGGACACGAGCATCCATGGATTTTGACATCCTGGAGAAGGTTCTGGGACTAATTTCCCATGGGTACTGAGGTACAACTGTATTATCTATGTTCCTTGTGTGTCTGCTGATCTTGTTTTTCCACTGAATGAGTGGAATGTGGTTTAAAAAGTTAAATATGCTTAAGATACATAAAAATTATTTGTTTTTTGGATAAAAATTTTATTAGTTATACTTAGTGCACAGATTTCCCATTTTGTTACTTTCACTTTTAAAACTTTTATTATAAACAATTTCAAACATATACAGAACAAGCAAAATTATATAAAGCATTCCCATGTATTTATTACTCAGGTTAGCAACCATCTACATTCAGCCCATCTCATTGCTGTTTTCCTTTTGATATTGACACATTTCTGCAGAAAAGTGATTATGCTATCAAACCTATCTGATCTCTGAAAATACTGTTTTTATAAATGTCCTAAATTGATCTTTTTTCTACAACTGGGACAAAAACAGGAGTTCATTTTCCTAAATGTCCTAGCACAATTCATTAAATGTAATTCCTTTCACTTTTGTTAAGTTATTTTTGTAAGTTCTGTGATAGTCTAACTTATTCTTGTTAAGTCTTCCATAAAAGTCTGAATTTATTTCTGAAGTCTCTATTTTGCCCACTGGTCCTTTTGCCTTGGTTTC